TAGAGAAGAGAATTCTTCATAATTAATTTGAAGCTTTATGCAGCTGATTCCCTTAACCTACTCGTAAGAGGCGCGCTTGAATAGATGAAATAAGAGGGACCACTGACTTTTGAAAGTATAGGTGCGCCACTGTGTCGCATTGGGAAATTGGTGATCCCTTAAAGTTAAGTTTGAGTTGTCCCATCTTGTATTATATGTGTTGATTTTTGATTTTTTGTAAAATTTTGTATATGTAATATTTAAGTGTACGCACTAATTTGGCAAGGAGTAGTGCGCCACCGCTCATGGATTTAATCAGAATTGTTTTTGGTGTTTCCATTATTGGCGAAAGCCATTATGCGGGGCCGAAAAGTAGCATGTCTTTTTAATATAGGGACTGTCAGAAGTAACTCTAACTTTTTTTTTATACCAATTTTTGGAGTGTTGGAAAATTGTGGCTCTAGTGTAAGTCGTACGACGTACCTGCCATTATTTGATCGAGTAGTTGTGGCTTTAGAGAAGTGCTCACATTACTGATATTTTACAGTTTTGCTTGTTTTATTTGTTTTTATTATACTCAACTTGAGTTGGTATGGTGGTGAATGGTTCCGTAACTAGTACATTTTGTGTTTCGCTGCGCAGCGTTTGAACCTTTTGTGCCTTTGAATAACATAGTGTCTCTTGGCAATTTTTAAAATTGTGGATTTCGGGATTTTCTTTTGCTAAACCCGTGGTTCCTTTTGTGTAAGCGCTTCTTTGGAGATGTCTGCTCTAATGAAGCATTGAATGATGTCTTTTGTGACAATATAAGCAATTAAATTTGCGTTTGCAATTTTTATGTGTATGCGCATGTGACAGACAATTTGTGCAAAGTCTTTTTGACCTGAAAAAATTATTTCGTTCGTTAACTGTTAAGTTTTTAAACCTCTCGCAAGATATATGTTTATGCCCTCTTGTGCATGGTTCGCATGACATTTGTTTTTTCTGTTCGGATGTGAACGCTTGTATTTTGTTAAAAATTCTATTTGATTTGTTTTTGCTTCTAGCTTTCGGTCTATTTAAGCTTCTATATGGGTCGTGTTTATTGTTCTTAGTTTTGATTTTTTTTTCTTCTAACCTTTCCGCAATTTCATATTGGGTAGTGAGAAAATATTTCATTTGTTGCCACGTAGGGCACATTTTTCGTGATGAGAGCGATTGCTCCCATAGAAGTAACGACTTTTCTGGTAATGTGGCGGTGCAAATTTTTACCAGAATTGGGCCCCAGCTGTCTGTGGAAATATTTTGTGTCGACAGAATCGACAAACAATTAGAAACGGTGGATTGTAGAGTAACAACTTCTTCATTTGTTTCTTTCTTGATTTATTTTAAAAAGAGTTATGGTAGGTTGATGGACGGCATAGATTGGTATGTGTGTGGGTGTAGACTTCTACTTCCAGCTGATGAGTGTTGGCTCCAAGTGTGGTGAATGTGGCAGTGTTGCTTTGTGAGTGGTGCGTTGTTTGTGTAGTGGTGTATTAGGGCGGGAAATTTAACTCATTTAGCCATCCCGGCCCCCACAAGCGAATGTTCAGCCTACCAATCGCTGGAGCTGTTGGAACGTTGCCACAACGTTGCTAAGTGCGACCGCGCGTCGGTAGGGTGGACTTTGACGATGGCGCCTGGTGGGTGCTGCATTTCGTGGACGCCATAGACGGAACTCAGGGGGTGGTACCGGTCTTCGTCGTCGTGCCACACGTTTGGTTTGCTGCGGTCTGCGAGTGGCAAGGGGCCGACCGACCTCACGTCTTGGATGGCGGTGGAGCAGCGTGTGATGCTGGCTGCCACACTTTTGGCACAAAGCCCCAGAGTCACAGTCCTCAGTCGCGTGCGTGTGTGCCAGACAATTGTTGCAATGATGGGTGACGTGCCCTTGAAGAGTTCACAGTCTTGCAGACGGTGGGGGCGGCGACAAAGGGGGCATCGTAAGCGATGCGACTCCGCTGGTGGTRCCGGTGTGGTTACAGGTGCTCGTGTGCTATTACAAGCTGCAGTTGACGGTGCTGTTGCGGTGATTGTACGGGGCGCCGCTGTTAAAACAACCCCAGGACAGGAGACACTGATGGCCGATCGCAGTGTGAAATATTCTCTGAATCCATATTTGCCTGTATGGAAAAAAAAAGTCGAGTTTAGTTGCAACTTATTTGTATATAATATGAAATGTGCGATTTGCAACCAACTTTATTTGGTTTGTGAGATTGTCAGATTTTACTAATCTATCCATTATTTGGTGGTATCTTTATGGTTTATCATATATGCGATCGATTTAGGGTTTAATTATTAGACGGATGTTTCAATTTCTGCGTGTCGGTATTATTGTACGGATTGTTTATTATGTGCATTTTCATTATTGTCTGCGGTTGGTAAGAAGCATAGTTTAACGAGCGGTCTAGTCGTGGTAGACTTATTGTTCTTAGAGGAGCCACTTTTGCTTTTGCAACTAGTAAGTGGCTTGTGGTTTCCTTGTTGCTTTGTGTGCGAACATATATAGTGGCGCAATATGCCTTGTCAGAGGCGTCACAGAAGCCGTGTAGTTCAACTTTGTGCTTTGATATATAATTTACCCATCGTGGGATTTGTATTTACGTGATATCTTTTAGATTTCTTATATCATAATTTTGGCTTGTATCATAATTGGCGATAGCCATTCTGCAGGGTCAAAAAGTTTTGCCACAGAGGAGAGAATTTGGCGTTTTGTAATGGCGGATAATGCGGATATGGACTCAGTCGTGTATGAAAACTGGTCCGATATCGCATTCTATTGGATGCCCAGAGTTTTTGTAGTACTTTCCTATTCGAATATAAGGAAATTAGTGTCCAACAATTTTTCTTTTGGTATATTTTTAATATATTTGGGTCATTTGTTGTAATCTTTTTTAATGGAAATCCTGCGGATTTGAGGGCTTGGATTACCTGTGATAATGATTGATTTTTTAAGTAGGTTTCTTTCCATACTTTGAAACTGCTGTATTGCAGAGGTGCGAGATTAACCTAAGGCGATTGTGTTGGGAAATTGTTGTTTTAAGGGTAGTCGACATACCGACCATTATCTAATCTAGTAGTTGTGGCTTTGTAAAAGTCTTCACAATACTGATCTTCGGGGGTTGTGATTGAAATGGGGGAGAGTTCTTCTATCTCCCAAAATTTTTTCAATTGTGAATTTAGGTACTCGTTTGAGACTTCCTCAGCTTGAGTTGTCAATGTTGTGCCTGGTCCCGCACTAGTCTACTTAGGATCCATCCGAGAATGGTATTTTGCGCCAGTAGTGCATTTGTGACTTTCTCAATACCTTCGATTATTATTTGTGGTATGAGATCGCTGCCTAATAGAAGATCTATTTGAGCGGGGGTGTTGCAGTTTGGGTCTGCTAGCTGTAGGTGTGAAACCTTTTGCCAATGCTTGYTATTTATGTGRTAGCTTGGTAGCATATTGGTTAATTGCGGTAAGACAATAGCTTCTGCTTGTATGCGCTTATCCGCTTTGGRGGAAAAGAGGGTAATGGGGCAGATTTTATTTGAGTTTTGAACAACTCTTCCGCCCATTCYCGTGATTTCAAAATTGGCTAGTTTTGTTGGCAACTGTAGCCTGTTTTGTGCCCTAGACGCTATAAATGATCGTTGTGATCCTTGGTCTAWTAAGGYTCTGAGTTTAAACAGTTCCMCTCGGTGTTCGATGGAGACAACTSCTGTGGGTAATAGWACCCTACTATGATTTTCGCTATGTAGCGTTTGGGTTTTTACCGCCTTTGAGCAGCATGGTGCTTCTTGGCAGTTTTCAGAATTTGTTGTCGCAACTAAACCTGTTGCTCTTTTTATGTTTGCGCTGTTTGGRGGTGAGCTGGAAAAATTDKTTATATGTAACATTGAATGATGTCTTTTATGGCAATAAACGCAATTAAATTTGCTTTCGCTATCTTTAAGCGTATGTGCATGTGACAAACAGTTGGTACATAGTTTTTTCGTTCTTACGAAATTGTTTCGATCGCTAATATTCATTTTTTTGAABTTYTCGCACGATTTGAGTTTGTGACCTCCTCTACAAAGTTCGCATGAAGTTTGTTTATATTGTTCGGATGTGAACGTTTGATTTTTAAAAAAGCTTCTATTTAAATTATTGTGGCTACTTGCTTGGGGTCTATTGAAGCTTCTATTGAGGTCGCTATGAACGTTTTTCGGTCTGACTATTTTTTTTATCTACCCTTTCTGCAATTTTATATTGGGTGGTAAGAAATTCTTTCATTTTCTGCCACGTTGGGCACTTTCTTCGCGATAAGAGCGATTGCTCCCACAAAAGTAACGATTTTTCTGGTAATGCRGCTGTGCATATATTTACCAGAATGGGGTCCCAATTATCTGTGGGAATATTCTGTGTCGATAAAACCGACAAACAATTTGAAACYGTGGATTGAAGCTTTATGAATTCTTCACTGGTTTCTTTTTKAGTTCATTAGTATCGTCACTTGCTCGTCGACCAATATTCTCTCGTTTTCTTAACGTGCTTTTAGAGCTWCCCAAGCAAAATTCAAATTTTCGTCATTGAGAGCGAACTGTTTAACTATTACGCCTGCCAGAYCTTTCGTTTTGTATCTGAGATGATACAATTTTTGTGCACTAGATAATTTTGGGCGGTTGATGTAAACGGCTGTGAACATGTTCCGGAAGGATAACCATTGTTCATAACCCCCATGAAAAATTTCTGTGTCACATGCGGACACCAWGAGGTGGATGGCTGAACTTGCCTCTTGGGCTTGTCTTTGCGGCAGCTCTACTTTCGGTTGTGGAGTATGTGCAATTGCTCTTAATAGCTTTAGTTGATCAGAAATCATTGCCTTTGTGTCTTCGAACTRATCTAGGYAGTGTTCATACTTGGTGTAAGVCGAGGATTTAAAGTTTTCTGGTAGATCTGAATCATCAGATTCTACGATTGCGTCATATGCAGCTTGAAGACGCGTCCAAAAATTGTCTAAATTGTCTTTTTTGATTTCCAATACCGATTCAGAATTGTCTTGAATCGGTGAAGATGAAAATCGRGTGCAGTATCGTATCAAACTATCACTCTCAGCAATGAATTTTGTATATGAAATATCTTTAAGCTTTTTTTGCTTTGTAGCACCTTGCTTTGAGCGTGTAGCTTCAGCAGGTGTACATGGGCTCTTTTCTTCTGAAATCATTTTCGGAACTTTTAGGGATTATATTGCTTTAGATTCTTTTGAATCTGAGCTCATTTAGAAGATGTATAGGATAAATTAAAAAAGTGTTAGTGAAAACTAGACTTGTAGATGTTTAAAAAAAATTGCGTTTAAAAACTGTTGAATAGAAGACTCTTTTGTAAGTAAGAGTTTCAAAAAAATCGATAAAATCAATTGCTTTTTT